CCATTAAGAATAAACATAATACAGAATCTAAGATGAGAATTGTGCAAGGGAGTTAAAGCCCAGAATGAAATGAAACTGGAGTTTGTTACCTTCAAAGGAAGATGATGAGCAGGGAATAGAAAGAGCTCAGTCCTAAAGTGGATGTGGTGATGTTAAAAAGTACCTGTGGTTTCTAAGTCCTGAAGGTTGGAACTGTATTATCTTTATCTCCATATACCCAGCAGCCAGTACAGTGAATGACACATGCCATTCCACCAAAATTACTAATAGAGGAAGAAGTCAATGATTTAACTCTTTCAGCAGGAAAAAAAATTAGAATGGAAAATGTGGAATCAACAGCATAAATGAAGAAACTGAAATGACTACACTTGATGACAAAATTAAAAAAGGGAAATTTCTGAGTTGATGTAAACACTTGCTAACAACTCATATGGCCTTAAAAGTTGAAAAGGTGTCTTAAGAGATAGTAAATGCCATTATCAAATTCATTACTATAAAAATTGTCTCCCTCTTTTTCTAGAATTTTTTTTTTTGAGTTGGAGTCTCACTCTGTCGCCCAGACTGGAGTGCAGTGGCCGCTTCCGGCCACCACAGCCTCGACCTGCTGGGCTCCGGCGATCCTTCCTCCTCAGCCTTCCGAGTAGCCGGAATTACAGGCATGCGCTACCACGCCCGGCTAATTTTTTTATTTATTGTAGAGATGAGGTCTCGCTGCCCCAGGCGGGTCTCGAACCCGCGGGCTCAGGCAATCCACTCACCTCAGCCTCCCAAAGGCGTGGGATTACAGGCTGAGCCACCGAGCCCGGCTCTTTTTCTAGAATTTATGTAACCATTTGGGACTATTAACATGATATATCACTGCATTAACTTTTTATATTTTATTATATGACTCTCACATCTGACCAAGACGAAATTTTTTTTTTTTTTTTTTTAGTTGGAGTCTCACTCTGTCGCCCAGACTGGAGTGCAGTGGCCGCTCCGGGCCACTGCAGCCTCGACCTGCTGGACTCTGGCGATCCTTCAGCCTCAGCCTTCCAAGTAGCTGGAACTACAGGCGTGCACTACCACGCCCAGCTAATTTTTGATTTATTGTAGAGATGAGGTCTCGCCAAGTTGCCTAGACGGGTCTCGAACCCATGGGCTCAGGCAATCCACTCACCTCAGCTCCCAAAGGCGTGGGATTACAGGCTGAGCCACCAAGCCCCACTGAAAATTTTTAAAATTATATATTCCCTAATTCCTTTTGTTTCTAAAATTATGTAAAACTTCATTAAATATCTTTCTTACCTCAAGCCATTTTGTACATACATTTAAAAACAATAAAACAAAAATATTTAAAATTCCAAGTGTTTTAAGGAGTATTGAAATATCCGTTATTTTATTAAAATTGAAACTGAAGTATTAGATAAACTTACAAAATCTGTGAAAACACAACAACAAAATATTGCTTAACTTTTCAGTCAGGGCTTGGGTGTGATGTGTGTGCAGAGGGGAGCATGTAAAATATCAGAATTTGGAAAAAAAATCAAAGAAATGAACAGTATCTTTGTGGGAGAAAAGACATCAGAGAAAAAATAAACTATGGAAATCAATTTGAGAAAGACAGAATTTTTATAATTATGAACTTTATTTTTATTTACTATGTCAACATTTTCAGGAGAGACTTTACATCTGGTTTTTACATCTGTAATTCATTTTACAGGCAAATCCTAATATACAGTATGTAGTACTGTGAACTGATTTTTAAGATCAATGGGAGAAACAATACTGTAAATATTATTTTTGTTGTTAGTAATGACTTAGAGACTTTAAATTCTTAGGGTCAGTATTATTTTGTTATGGAAATGCTTTGCCAAGGAGAAAGTAGGAAGCTTTTCCCCAACAAGGTTAAATTACATGTATCTTCAATTAATGACATAGTTGTAGATTGGCGCTCACCATCTGAATCATTTATCCAGAAGTATTCTTTCAAATTGCTGCAGCAGAAAACTTAAAGGGAGATGTGAAAGATCATTAAAAAATATAATTCAAGCATCAGAATTAAGAAAAATATCAAGGCCATCATCCCCAAGGAAAAACATCAGGTATTTGTATTACAGTATAATTAATTTTTAAATGTGTACATAAGCATGCAAACATAACCACCCCAACTAATTTAGCAACATGAAAACTATTGTGTAAGATGGAGAATAAACTCAAACAGTGCTGCAGTTTTGTTGTTCTTTCCTTAAAAGACTGTTTGGTGATTCCAAAGTACATCCCTAGTGCCCTAGAAACCAGCATGACAACTCTGCTCAGAATCCAAGAGTGCACCTCTGTGTCTATAACACCATCTACGCTACAGGAGGAACATTGGAAGTGACAGCTATGGGGGGGGGATAACGTTCTCTTTGATGCATTGAGAAAAATGAGTGAAATACTTAAGGGGACAATGGAACACTCAAAGAAAACTTAGTGCTTTAATGGGGAAAGTGACATGCCCGGAATATAATCCTGTGAAAGGCTGTACTTATATCTTCAAACAGCAACAATTACAGAGAAATTGATTTCAATGAAGCCACACCCAGTAGGAGGCATTTTGATATTTCAGGCACAACTCCAAGCAATTAAGCTCATTTAAAGTGCAAATTTGACATTTTCTTTCATATTCAGATTTTTACTTGTTAAAATACTTAGTAAGTTCCCTAATATCTATATAAATACAGTGAATAGTAGCCTATATGCCTGAAAATATTGCACAAATGAAAATAAGACTCCAAAAGAAAAATGCTAGATGGTCTCAATTATTAGAAACATTCTGAATCACAGAACTCTACAATCCTTTGTTTAATGCCTTAAAATCATCTACATCTGTACCAATAAACTCCCTAAATCAAGTTTTCTTTTAAAAGTTTGATATGCATCCCATTAACAGCCAAATATATACTTCTGCATACTCTTACTAATTCCCTCTTTCACAAATGTGAAACTTAACCAAGCCCCTAAAATTTCTTCCTCAGGACTTAGAATTCTATATTCACTGATATCACAATAATAAGTCTGAATTTCTGTAGAGGAGGATTTGGCACAGAGTTGATTTACAGAAGCAACAAACATAGATCAAGACAAATCTGAGAAGGTGATCTAATTATTCAGTACGGCTACGTCCTCACTTCCATTTCTGACTTAACATTTACTAAGGAGCAAACAAGCAAGATATTCTTGCAGTTTAAAAAAAAAAACTGCAGGCAAATACATTACATTGTTTGTGCAAGCATCCTAGATTTTTTTCTCTTAAATATATTATGTTCCATAATTACATTGATGAGCCTATCTTCTGCAAAATTAAGGCTCAACAAAGGTACAGAAAAGGTGAACTAATGGGTTAACATTTCTGCAAATCCATCAGGGAGAGAAGAAAAATAAATTACTAGAGATAACATTTTAATGTAATAGGCAAGACATTTCCCTTAGACTAGGGGGTTAAGAATAAATTAAAAATTTAAAATATCTTCTCTAAGGATAAGGCCAACCTGTAAATAATGTTTCATAAGAGTCTATTCAACTTCTAAATAAACCAAAAAATCTACCAAGTTACTAGTATGTTTCACTTTAGGGAAATATAGTATGATAGCATCCTATTTGCAATGTGTGAGATCAGTTTTCTTTCTCCTTCAAAATGAAAGACCACATGTGCCCACTTATAAGTACAGCCATTATGGCTCATCTCCATGAACAAAGAAATGCTTTGCTAATATGCCTGATGACTCTTATACTAACAACATCTGGACTATGTGAAGAACTTTCTGAACTTCACTGCTTCTCTGGCAAAAGTGCTGACACATAAGAGTATGATACTATTTGCACTGTTCACCTATTACTAAATCCAAGAATGTTTTGTATCCATTCTCTGATAATAAGGAAAAACTACACCAAAATGGTAGCAAATGCTTCTTTCGAAATTTCCACTAATAAAGGAACAGACAGTTTCACCAACATACTTTTTTTTTTTTTAAAGGAATCCCTAGAAATTCGAGTGACTTTTTGGTCATAATCCCTTTTGATACATTTTTGGTCAGTTGTTCAAAGCAAACATTGATCCTCTAAATTTGTATGAGCGATATTAATTCAATTAAAGAAGCTACAGGTGAACAGAGATGACATAATTTGGGAGAAGAGGAAGGAAAATTTACTGAATTGTCTGACAAGTGGTCCACAGCATGATTAGATTCATGCATGTGGTCACTTGAAGGTTCCACAGCTACCTCCAAATTTGTGTTCAATATGTGAAAATAAATGAGCATATTGCCTATGAATACCTTTTAGTATCTTTTCATATAACACACCTTCCCAACTCCAATTCTATTTTTCTTCCCAAGTCTACTTTCAAGAAACCACCAAACATACACCAATAGAAAAGAGAAACCTAAGAAATTCAGAAAAAAAATATATTATGAATCCAGCTTTCTCAGAGTCTTAGCTAAATTCATAATTTTTTCAAAATATTTAAATTTATTTTGCTATAGAAAATAGTTTTAAATCCCTATGTATGGGATATTTACATCCCATCAAAGTTCTGTGCAAATGTTTCAAGTCCATTATTCCAGTCTTCGGATAATAGCTAAAGTCAATAAATATAAATATTACAACTAAAGACTTAATTTAAAATATATGCTGTGGAACCTTAAAATGGCTATATTAGATCGATAAGCTTATAGGGTTCAAAACTGAATTATCAGCAAAACTCTAGCACCAACATATTACAAATGGATACACCTTTAGGTATAGGGTTCAGGATGTATCTCAAGTTCTCCAAAGTTTACCCAATAACAAATACAAACACAAATGGTGTGGGTGTGTGTGTGTGTGTGTGTGTGTGTGTGTGTGTGTAAGCAATATATAATTGTTTATATATAATGAAAAACATTTTCAGCCTCGGGAATTTGTCTGGAAAATGAATATATAGTAACAGTAGCTTGCTGACTCTAGCAAAGAAAAATAAAACTTACATAGACTTTCCATTAAAAGCCTAATCTCCTTTATTCATCACAAAGCTTTTTGCATAGACCTTTTAAATATACAAAACTGGCCAGAACTCTGCTTACAGACGTCCATCTTCCATTATCACTGTATCTTTAGTTAAAATAGTAGCCATATTCACAGTAGGGACAGGTAAAAATGGTTGCAGTTCTGACAACCACAATAAACACAGACAGACCTTAACAGGACTAAACTAGCAAAGCACACTCTTGCCTGCTATGAATTTTCTGATGTGCAGAAAGATTGTTAACGTGATTACAGCCTTTGGCAGGTCTCTGAAATGGGTAAGCAAACTTTTGTGTTTACCTGAGATAAGTATGCTCAAATGGCATGTACTTCAACCAGGATATAAAATTGAAGAGCCAAACTAGTAGAAGCTTCCACATTTTAATTTTAAGATTTGCAGGTTTTCAGTGGAACCTCCACCCTGGTACCAAATTGCACATAAAGTTATTACAGAACAGACTGTTTAAAAAAAAAAGAGAGAGAGAAACAAAAACATATTGGCAGGTAATGGCTATGTACTTAATGTATCTTTGGTTTAGGAAGACGAGAATACCGATTAGAGACCAAACAATCCCCAGAATGCAAACTGCCATTCGGATTCTGCATGATTTCTTTTCGTTGTGTTAGTGGTCTTGGGATGCTGGTCTTGGTCTGGAAGTTTTGAGGCTCTAGTCGGGAGCTGCTTATTTGTTTTTGTTTAAAATTGCCAGAAGGGGGGCGGAGCTTAGATGCTTTCAGATTCTGATTATTTGCAAGATTTGTTTGACTAGATGTTGGCTGAAGTTTTGCTGAATTACATGTTGTAATTACTGGTGACTTCCTACAAGTGGAAGTACTACTTGGAGATGATTCAGAAACTGGAGGAGGTACCAAAGAATTCAAAATGGATGGCTTTAAAAGCTGCAAGGACGTGGGCTGAGACGTATAGCCCACTGGCAGAGACTGATTTCTTCCAATTCTCTTAGCCTGGCCTACTGTACTTGATTGGGGAGGTGTCTGAAGAGAAGTGGGTACAAACTGAATGTCACTAATTTGATTATTTGCCAAATGATAAGGCTCTTGAGCATTTACAGTCATGTTCAAGTTTGCTTCAGAAGATGTACTCTTAGCCACATCCACTGTGAATTGTGGGCTTGGTGAAAAAGGCCGGTCTTCCAAACCACAATTACTTTCTTCCTGCAAACCACGTGTAAAGCTTTCATCCAGATGTGCAACGCCCTGATGCATGTCCTGGATTGTGCATTCACTGGGGGCCTCGATACGTTGCGGTTTTATTAGTTTTCCCTGGACGTGGTCTGTGGGTCTGGGATGGCTGCTGGAAGGCTGTAGTACTTGAGGCTGTTAAAATTAAAAACAACATTAGCAACAATTTATCTTAGAAATGTCATCCAGAATTAATATAAGTTAAGGTCCAATTAGGGTCTCTTGGTACTTATTATGTTTTAATATGGAAGGTATGTGAGATTTTTTTAAATTAAAAAATGAACTGTGAACTGCAATATTCAAGCAAATTCATGAGACACATACAAGAGTGGTAATGTAAACAAAAAATGATACAGGCAGAAACACTAAACAAAATCCAAAATAAAACAAAGAGAAAAGGAAACATTAAAGTATTGATTTATTGCAGAAAAAATTCCTGCCTTAATAGAGTCATTAGGTATTTAAAACCTTATATATAAGATAGCTTGGCAGAATGATTTCTGTAACACTTTGGTTTAATATTCACAAAGCATTCAGATATAGTCTGTGACCTTTAGAATATTACCCATATTAAAAATAAAGTTGTATTGAAGTTTATACTTCTGTCAAGAATTTAAAATGCCAGCAGATAAAATTTAGACTATTATATTCTCAGTTATGTGAAATTCTAAATGTTTAAACAAAAAACAAATCAATGCATTTAGCTAATGCTAACCTACCTTTAATATTCTTGTTGAAAAGTTTCAGAATAAAATGTCTCAACGCTTACTTGTTCTGTCTCACTGCTGTTATGGGGTAACATATGGAAAACAAATCTACCTTGACTAAGAGTGAACATTCATTCTTAAATTTAAAATAACAAGTCTTTTAAATGATAGCTAAGAGTAAAACAAACTTGAAATTGCCTATTGTAGCACAGAAGTCTACAATAGCAAAGTTCTTAAGACCAAGATGCCTCACACATACTTCTCCAAAGCTCACTTTGAAGTTACAGTCTGTTAAAAAATCAGAGGAAGTTATGCAATTTCCATTATTTTTTGAGCATCCAGTAAAAATATATATATATATATATACATCTTAAAGTTATCTTGCAAAGACTCAAACAGTTAACAGTTAAGATATATGGGGCATGGCCTATGGGCCTGTCCTGGTACAGAAGTGTTTGCTACAAATTTATCTCTTGCTCTGGCTCCTGCTTTCTCTGGCTCTTGCTCTCTCACACACACACACAATCACACTTTTTTTTATCAAATAATGTTAGCTAAAACATTAGAGTTTGGCAAAGGGCTTTGAAATGTGAATTTTAAAGGGCCATTTCTTACTAATAGCTTTTTTTACTATGCTAATCCATAAATAAATCTACATAGTATCTCTAATTTCCCCAACAGAAGGGGTGGGTCTATTTATACTGCATCATTTGTGGTTTTCACTTCTTTCACCTCCTTAACCAGCACTGGACAAATGCCGTCCAGGATCAGCAGCCAGGGATTAGATTATGCCAGGGATGGAAGTAACTGAGCAAGAGGTTCACCAGATGGTTGGCTATGATGGCACAGGTCTGACTTGCTATTTAAAAAAAAATTGACTACTTATTATTAATCTGTAGAGAGATATATTACATCAAGTCATATGCAAAATGTTTAAAATACACAAGCCATCTTAGTTGTTGCCTCAAGTTAAATATCCAGACTTTAAAGTTACTGGATATTTTCACAGTAAATCACCAAAAAAATGAATAAGCTGTCCTTTAACATAGAAGGTACTAAAATCACCCATATAATTAAATCAGTAGGCTCTTCTTAGGTTCCCTAGATAAAAATGACTATGCCAAAGTAATCAAAAACCTTAGAAAGATCAGTGGAAAAACAGAGCAGGGCTCTTATTAAGCAAACCGAAATCTACCAAAGTGGGGGAAAAGTAATTAGGGAGGAGGCAGCATCAAATGGTTGGCCGAATTGTTTTTACTTTTCACTTTTCACCTTCAAGCACAGTAAGATATTCTAGTCCAAATTTAAAATTCTTAAAGCAATGTAAGCCTTTTGAAAATATCAGTGACAATTTTAAGATTGACTTTATTGTCATATACCTTATGCCAGTAAGAAAAAAAGGTATAAGTATGTGCTATTAGCTTAAAGCATAAAAAAGTATGATTTTCTAATTAAGAAAATAATAAATGGTTTATTAAGACAACCAACTATCCAGGAAAGGGGCATTGTGAACTGTAGATAAATTATCCATTGCACTGTTCTGATTACTCACATTACCCAACTGACCACAGCTTTTCAGATAAATAAATGCAAACACAACAGTGTCAGAAAGATATACTACTTGTATTAAATGCAGTAAAGCATCATATAAAATATTAAAGAATTACGTAACAGTCAATTTTTAAGGAATAATAAAAAGTCGAGTCTTTTCATTGACAGGAGTTAAATAGTTTTATAAATAAGTGCCTAAACTATAACTTAATTATATTAAATAAATCAGTGGTTTATGTATGCCTAAATATAGATTTTTTTACTTATTAAAAATTAATTTTAGCCGGGCTCAGTGGCTCAGCCTGTAATCCGCGCCTTTGGGAGGCTGAGGTGAGTGGATTGCCTGAGCCCGCGGGTTCGAGACCCGCCTGGGCAAGCGAGACCTCATCTCTACAATAAACCAAAAAATCAGCCGGGCGTGGTAGTGCATGCCTGTAATTCCGGCTACTCAGAAGGCTGAGGCGGAAGGATCGCCGGAGCCCAGCAAGCAAGGCTGCGGTGGCCGGGAGCGGCCACTGCACTCCAGTCTGGGCGACTGAGTGAGACTCCAACTCAAAAAAAAAATTAATTTTGGTGGTATGACATAATTTCCCTATCCCAAAATATATGTTTTGTCTTATTACTGATTTGAAAACTAAAGCTTGAAAAATCAATTCCACTACTGTAGAAAAAGTCTCTTTTCAAGAGGAATAAAAATCACTATAATGTGAGAACCAAGGAATCAACTTGCCCCTGATATGTGGAAGACTATGTAGAAGTGGTTACTCACTAAGGATTGGATTGTTGTTAATTACCTGCTGGTAAGTTGAATAACAACTTAACTTTTAGCTTCTAGCAAGCAAAGCAGGTATGTGTTCTGATGGTTTATTGCTAAAATTTACCCAAATTCTAAACACTCAATTGTGTTAATATAAAGGCAAGGTGTTAACAATTTATCTTGTCCACATCCACTACTGCTTCTATGGCCACAAAAAGATGCCCTTGGATATCTTTAGAATGGATTCTAAATAGGAAAAGAAAGATCCCGTATCTTCAAGGATTTATTAATAAGACTAATAGGAAGGAATATAAGACTATTCACTTTTTAAAGTTCTAGTATATCTCATGTACTACTGTACTAGGAATGGGAAAATCTGAAGCTGAACATGACATTGCTCCTGTGTTTGAGAAGCTTAGTGAGGGAGACAATAAGGTAAACAAATGATGAGACCAGGTCTCAAGCATAACAGCATATGGGAACAAAAAGAAAACATGTGCCTGACTGGAGAGGTCACAGAAGGTATCTAAGCAAAGCAAACAATCTGCACTGTGTTTTAAAAGGGTAAATAGGAGTTTACCAAGTAGACAAGCAGGGAAGGACATTCTGGGTAGTGAGCTAGTACATGCTAAGCACAGAAGCAAAAAAAGAAAAGAAAAGAAAGAAAGAAAGAAAAAAAAAGAATATGGCATGTTCTGGTTACTTCAAATTATTAGACTGACTTTGAAAGTATAGTGCCAAAGTGTAGATAATGGCCAGCTTGTAGAGGAACTCCGCCAGGCTAAGTAGCTCTGCCTTTGTGCCTTAGATAACAGAATCAGTGAGGAACGTAACTAAAGGGGATGACATTGTAAGCAGAACAACCATACAGTAAGCTATTGTTATTGGCAGAAAAACTGAAGAGAAAGGTGGGATAGGCAAGACAAGATACTGCACTGTATCCAAAAAAGGCCTCTAAAGTAGTTGCCCACCAACTCATGCATTTCATAGCTTCAGTAGCCCACAAAACTCAGAGGACAAAAGGAATCCCCCTCCTACTAGGGGGACTTCAGAAAACTTCCTGTAGTCACAAATGAGTAGAGCTTTAATTCTTGCAACTTGTAGAGGGGCTGGTTACTGAAGCATCAAAATGAGGACTCGTCCCCAAACTTATAGAGCTATGTACCTCTAACTGAATTCAGCAACTTGAAGACTTACTTTAGATACATCAAATCAGCACATAATTCTGAGAATTAAGAGATTAAATGGTTCCATGTACCAAAGTCAAGAATGTCAGCAATGGGCACTTCTGGATAGTTGGACAGTTGTGCAAAGACTTGGCAGGCAATCTTTAATAATTTTTTTTGGGGGGGTGTCTATCTCTCACTCTGTCGCTCAAGCTAAAGTGCAGTGGCACAGTCATAGCTAAGCAGCCTCAATCCCCAGGGCTCAGGTGATTCTTCTACCTCAGCCTCCCAAGTAGCTGGGACTGTTGGCATGCGCCACCATGCCCAACTAAGTTTTTTTTTTTTTTTTTTTTTGGTAGAGACAAAGTCTTGCTGTGTTGTCCAGGCTGGTCTTTAACTCTTGGGTCTTGAACTCTTGGGTCCAAGCAATCCTCCTGCCTTGACCTTCCGAAGCACTAGAATTACAGGCATGAGCCACCATGCCTGGCCTTTAATAATAATCTTAAATGGCTATTTTGAGCTGCTAACAAAGATAACCAGAGACAATTAGCTTCTTAGAGGCATGTATCATGCTTTACTCATTTTTGATGGAGTTTGGTTTAGTATTTCTAATATTTGGTACATAGTAGGGATTAAACATGTATGAATAAGTCAGTGAATAAATATTAGCAGTAAGCTGGGCTTGGTGGCTCAGCCTGTAATCACACACCTTTGGGAGGCTGAGGTGAGTGGATTACCTGAGCCCGCGGGTTCGAGACCCGCCTGGGCAGCAAGACCCCATCTCTACAATACATCAAAAAATCAGCCAGGCGTGGTAGCGCATGCCTATAATTCCGGCTACTTGGAAGGCTGAGGCAGAAGGATCGCCGGAGCCCAGCAGGTCGAGGCTGCGGTGGCCGGGAGTGGCCACTGCACTCCAGTCTGGGAGACAGAGTGAGACCCCAACTCAAAAAAAAAAAAAATATATTAGCAGTATATTCAAGAATTGCTTCTTTGGTCAAGAATTATCAAAGTGATACTTGGTCAAAGATGAGCATCAATAGTTAAACAAAATCCAGTTTTTAAGAAACACATAAAAAATAAATCTGATAATATGAGAAAAAAACACATTGTTTTTGCCAAATAAATTGGAGTTAGCTTAATGATTCGTGTTTAGAAGGAAGGATTAATTACATGTTAACTTGAACCTCAAGTACCTCTCATAGTGACCTACAAACTAAGCCACCCAATAGTTTTTATTTGAAGACCAGACATTTTTGGACTAAATAGTTAGGGAAAACTATCTTAAGATTCAGCTATTTTCCATCCCTAATTCTAATAATTAACATGACTACACATGTTAAACACTTAGCACAGGATCTCCTAGCACACAGTAGTGCTCAATAAATTTCATCTATGATTATTAAAAGGTATAAGAATGATGACTTCAAGCCACAACTGGCTAGGTCTTGAAAAAAAAAAAAAGGCAAGTTCTCTAGTAGTACAATAAACTAGTTGCTACTAAATATGAGGTTTCTAGGCTTTAAATACATAGTTCAATAATATCGATACTATTTAAATGTTTTACATCCACAGCCAAGTATATCTGATATGACACAGAAGTCAAGGTTCCTTAACTGCCTTCCTGGAGATAAAAACTGGAGCTAGGACACACAAGGCAGTTTAAAGTTTACAGTGAAATTTTCAGTGGGTCTATGAAGGAGTTAGTGCAACACAGTGTTGAATCACTTAGCTTTTAGAATCAGATTGATCTGAATTTGATTTCTGGATCTATCACTTATAATAGGCAAGACACTGGGCAAATAATCTCACTACCCTGAAATGGAATTTCATAATTTACAAAATGAAGGCAATGGCATTTTACAAAATGAGGGTAATGAGGTAATGCTCATTTTACAAAATTAGGTAATGCCTCATGGAATTGCAATAATAACCAGTTACATGTGTGTAACTGTGTACAATATATGGCACATTATACATTCTTGAGAAATATATTCTGGCTCTGAGGGAACAGAGTTCCCTTTTTCCAAGGATAAAGATCCAAACTCTGAGTTTGTATGAATGATCTCTAATTATCATAAGATCCCTAGGTTAAAGGTATTATTCTCTTCTTTTTGTAAATGAGTAAACTAGGGCCAAAATAACTTAAATAGCATGCTTAAATTCACATACTTTAGTCAATGGCAAAGCCAGAATTTGAACCATCAGAGAATTTATTAAAATGCAGCACTAACATTTATTACTTTTGGCTAATTGGGTAGTTTCGATTATTTTACAGGCTTTCGGTATACATAGATGATTATTTCAAGTTTTAATATATTCTAAAACTCTATAGGCAGATTCAATACTAACACTCAGTTACTGACTTTTCTAGAAAATGTCCTATTTCCTTCTTAACTGATCTAGCCTATACAGGGTAATTCTCAGACACCAAACTCAAGCCACACCTGTGAAAGCCACACTTCTGAAAAATGGTGATTCCACAGTTATCCATTAAAGGAAACACACTGAACATGAAAAAAAGACAAACCAGCACCATCACTGAGCAAGACTGTACACCTTTACTATTTCGTAACACTTCAATATCTCCAGTATTAGTATATGGAAAAGCACTCACGTTAGGTTTTTGCAAGCACTCTTATTCTAGGGTCATTAGCAAAAAGATGGTAGCTAAAATGTCAAGTCCTGATTGAGTTAAAATATGCCAAAGTGTGCAAAGGAGAAAATGTTCTAAATTGTAATAATGCTACTGCATAACAGACATAGGAATTACCTAGGATTATTTTCTGGGTACATACAAGTTTATTGTTATTATTAAATACATTTTAAAGGTAAAAAGGAAGATGGAAATGGAGCCATCTGTAACATGCCTATAATTTCATGCAGGCTCTGACATGCATCATGCAAACTGGAAAAAAATAAAAACAAAAAAGTGATTATAAGGAAGGTGGTAGGAAAAATCCAAAATTGTACTGTACCACGCTTTGTCAGAGAAGTAATGGACTAACTTCTCAACTCCTTGCCAATGGCATAATGGGAGAGCAGAGACAAGAGAAAGACAGGACAATGGCATCAGAGACCACACACAACACCAAGGATTGCCATGACTGGGCGGCAGCCAGAAGTATTTGCTTTGCTATTGTTGTGTTTTTCTAGGCATTATTCATTATTTTATTTAATATATTTGTACATAATAAGAACACACAGTTAATAGATTTACACTTTCTTATTTAAATGGTTTTCAAGTTAGTAAAAATATTAATATCCATAGAAAGGTATAATAAAACTTCTCACACTTAAAATGAATCACTTGAAGAATCTTACCAAGCAAAGTATTAACAATTTAATATTCATACTTCAAAGACCTAAAAAGGCTTAGAATCAGGTAATTCTGATATAAGGGAGGCAGAAATTATTTTTTAAATACTTTCAGAGCCTCTTGAACATTATAAAACTTTTTTAAAAAAAGGCATTAGTTTTGTTTTATTACTGCTATTGCACTAAAGACCACTAAAGGTATAATATGATCTTAAATATGACTGGTGAATTTTAAGTGAGTCTCCATACATAGCTATAGAGGGAAGACCTAACTGGATCCCTAGTACTGTATTACAAATAGATTCAAAGACTTTTGCTCTAGAATTCACATGAAGCAAATTAGTTTCCAATACTTCTTGGGAACCAGAAATGCTCTTATTCCTCTATATCTCAGAATGGTGCTTCTAGATCTCAGAAAACTTAGAGAACTTTATTGATAAGTATAAATTATATATAAATTCTGAAATTAGGAGTTAGATGACTTTTCTAAGTTGATAGCGTTAACTGTTTTTAATATTATCAAACTGATTAAGAGTGACTTAAGTAAGCATTTAACAGAGGCATAATCAGTGTGAGATAATTAATTTCATGGGTCTATATCTCAAAGACACGAAATCCATTAGTATCTACCTCTCAGATGCACGGTAGATTAGAAAAAAAAACTAAATAGCATCATAATAGTACAATTTCATTGGTGTGATCAATATGCATGGAATATTTATTTATCCAGAATAGGATACTGCAAACACTGTGGTACAACAAAAAATACTGGCTAAAGAAACAATTCCAAAATCTGCATAGTAGATTGTAATAGAAGTCTTTATACAGAAAACATTAATTGTTGCATTTCTCATAATTGCAAGAAATTAACCCATGCCTACATTTATGGAAAGGCCTATTGGACCATGAGTTAGATGCACATTTCTAATCAATTAACCAATGACTGTGTTTAGACAGCCCTTGAAATCAACTGCAAAAACATACATAGTACTACATTCTGTGCTAACCATATTTAATAAAAAATTACCTTACTATATATAAAATTGAATTAAATTTTTAATGAGTTATTCTAGTTTGCATTTCATTCAAAAATATTTCATTTTGAGGATGTTCACCAATAGAAAAAATAAAATGTATTCAGATTAAGAAGTAAATATTTATATTACCAGGTATACACAATAAACTGTACATACTTAAAAATATAGATATATTGTATTTTTATGAAAAGTCACTCCTAGAGCTAATTTCTAAGAAAGCTGAAGCTATCCTTACATATAAAATGGATTACTACCATAAGTTAGAGTCAATCAGATGTGAGCCATGTTTATACCTTTATGAGCATGCTTGACAATTCAACAATACACATCAAGTGCCCCTAGAAAGTGCACACTCTTTGATTAAGCAATATCCTTCTAGAAATCCACTTAAGAAGAGATCCTGACACTGATTTATACACAAGGATAAATTGCATTACAGAGTATCTCTGTAACTAGAAACAACTTCAATGACCAACAGCAGAATAAGATTATTCAAGTTTGAGTATATCTACATGATAATGCATTACCATGAGGCCATTAAAATGGTAATTTCAATAAATATTTACCACATATAAAAATGTATATATAATGATACTATGCGAAAAAAGGAAAACAAAAATACTGAAAATACACAAAGATTCCAACTTGATATAATAAAATGTAAAAGACTAGAAGAAAGGATATCAAATGTTTCTATATCTTCTAATTCCTCCTCAATGAGTCACTACATTACTATTATAAATAGGGAAAATGTAAATTTTAAAGAAAAGTGCATAGTATTTATAACAAATATTTAAAGTTCAGACTCTAGAATTAGAATGGAAATTAATTCCATTCCTAAGCAAACTGCTATATTGTTCCAGCCTATTCATTTACATTTTCCTTATTATAAAATTGGAATAATAATAGCTCTGACTCTATGAGTTATTGTGAGGTTCACATGATAATTTAAAACACTTAAAAAGGTACTTCTTAAGATATTAAAAATCATAAGATGTACTCAATTAATATTAGTCTTTTCCCTGTTCTTAGATGTATGGTTAAATTTTTACAAATATATGTAAAAGTTTTCTACATAGATAATTTGTGAAAATGTAGTATTTAGGCACAGCCTGTTCCTCTTTCTGGAGTGTACTGTCACCATTCACTTTTGCTAAATAAACCACTCTTTGCTTTAAAAAGAAAATAAAAGAAAATAGTAATATTTAAGTAGTTCTTAGATTATCCTGAGGGTATGAATCCTAAGAGAATAATTCTTCAGCTAAAGGGTCTGAAAGAACAAACACAAAGCTAGTGAAATACCAAAGTGAAAAAGTGTAGTCAAGGACAAGCAGGCCAAAAAGTGACATTCAATAAGCATCATTTTTGTTAAACTGAGGAACAGCTGATTCTTACAAAGACATCATCACTATTATTCAACAACAAAATTTTTTTCCTAGTACAGGCTTAATCTTAGGAGGTACCACTTAAAAATAATAATTTTTCTTCAAAAAAAGGATAAAATCTTTACTATTACTTTATATACAAAATCTATGTCTATTAAGTTACCCAAACTTCTAAGCTTTCATATTTAAAGTTGGTACATTAAAATCTAAATATTTAGACTTATATGAGCAAAACAGACCAGTGTTTTTCTAACTGTAGGTTGCTAGCAATATTTTTAAAAATTAAATAGAATAGAGAAGAGAATATGAAAGTATATGTCATAATGTCTCATTAATCTTTTATTTGAATTTTAAACATACACATATGTGTACCGGGCTGTAAACACATACTTTCATCTAGTAAATATATACTGGGCTGTTTTGTAAAATAAATTCATAATAATTGCTTGCAAAAAATGTTTGTGAAATAGCCCCTGAAAGATCTAAGAGGAAGAGGATATAAAACAATATAAATCTGTCACTCTTAATGTAATCCTGGTGAACATAATTGCATATTATTATAATATAAATATAGAAATTAGGCAATGCTACAAGAAGCTGCCAGGCTATTAGAACATATGTAGATACATTTATGTAATTTGTTTTAAAATCATTTTTCCCCTCCCATATTGCACATGGAAGGTAAAATAGGATTTCTAAATTCTCTAAAGCAAGGTACTAAAAAGTAAATTTTAAAAGTCTAGTTAGGCAGGATAAGAAATAGGTATTATTACAAAATACACTTTTTGAAAAGTCAAGTACTCCTAATAAGCATATGCTCTGGGAAGAAAGCTATTTGGGATTACCATTAAGACTTTCTACTTGCCAAAGCAATTATTTTTATTAAATGTTCCTACTATGACATAGGTTACTTATCATTCCCAATTTTACACAATTGGAAATTGGACTTAAAAAGACTAAACTAATGTCAGTTCAATGAATGTAGAGAAAAGCTGAAGTCCTTGCTGATATCAAGAAAGACTTCTATATGTCTTAATGTAGACATTTTCCACTAACCCATAGAAAAATGTAATTTGAAATCAGAAAGTAAGTATCATGGAGACTAGTATGCACCTGAGAAAAGAAATGTAAGTCAAAATTTCCTGAGGGGGAAAAAGAATACTTAAAGACCAGGATATTCCTGTTATCTCCATTTTCCTAGCTTTATTCTTAAACTCGGCAGAACATACCTGGCCAGTACAGCATTCTGTTACTAATGCTAAGTATTTCCTATAGACATTAGTTATTTCACTCTCTGCCTATTTAGACTAACCTATCTTTTATACTTCAAGGTCTACTACTACAGTAATTTAAAATAAAAACAAAAATAAAACAAATCGTCCTTACTGAAGACTCATGGCCAAGCCTGCCTTGGCCTCTCCATTCAGAAAATAAAGGCAGTTCACTCAAGTCGATGTTCAAGAGGACATCAGAAAGAACATTTTAGTGAAACATTATAATGAAGGAAAAATTGCTCAACTATCTTCCATTACTTACACAATTAACCTTTCCAAAGATGAGCACTAGGAAACACATATTGACTAAATGTGAAGACAAGTATTATCTCACTGAATATAAGATTAGTAAAGTAAAAGAGATCTATTCCAAAACCCTTTGAAAAACCACTAGATTTACAGATAATCCCATAACCCTCTTCTCTTCATTTTGTCACACTCACACATAAAAAAAAATTCTATAAGTAAACTGCTGCAGCTGTTCGCAGGGTAAATCCAAAATAGTGTAGTAGTTTAGAATAGATTTCCTCTCTAAAGTAATCTTTCAAGGTCAGTAAGAGCTAACAAAAAGCTGTGAACAAGTCTTGTGATTATTACTTCCATCAAACAGAGTTCTACACATCTCTATGACTAGATCCAAGGGCCGGTTTTCTTAGCTGTATGGGCCATGAGAATCCATTCAGGAAGACTCCGATGTACATATATAGTTATTTTCCTAGATAACAAATACATCCAGACTCTGGAGAATAAAAACTCTCTTTTGGCTAATCTGGAGATGCAGGGAAAGAAGGTTTGATCTAGAAAAGTAAAAAAAAGACAGATCTTGATGGTATTATTGTAGGACGGTGCTGCATCATAGTTGGGAATTAAAAGGGTCACTCTGAACCCAAGAAAGAAGAAGAAACACTTGAAAATGGAGGGCCAATGATTCAAAGGAGGGACAAGAACATTCTGAAGCTACACAAATAAGAAACTAGTGAAATGAGTGCTTCTGAGACAAGTTTTAAAAAACAAATCTAAAACTCCATCTGTAATTCAGAGTAGTGAATTCTAAGCTTCAATGTCATA